GGGGGGGGCGGCCCCCCCCCCCCCCCCCCCCAAGTACCTCGCTGCTCCCAGTCGTGCAGCTGGTCGCGGTCCCTGGTGGCGCTGCCCAGCACCTGCCGGGGCACGGGCTCCATGCGGGCGTCCACCTTGTCCTGGCCGGCGCCGCCGCCGCCGCTCTCCATGGCCCTGCGGAAGAAGCGGCCGAGCTCCTCGAAGTCCATGCTCCGCAGCTCCTCGCTCAGCGCCCGCTGCTCGGCGCGGCTCAGCTCGGGCAGGAAGCGCAGGAGATGGCTCTGGCCGGCGCAGGCCAGGCGGGCGCGCAGCTCGCTCTGCTCCATGGGGCCTGCGGGACCCGGCGGGGGTCAGCGCCGGCTCGGCTCGGCTCGCGCAGGGCAGTGCGCATGCGTACCCCCACCCGACTAACGGCGCCACTCACCTGCGGCCAGCCAGTGCGCGAGGCCGGGAGCGCCCCCTCCTTTTAACAGGCGCACTGCGCCAACCCACCAATAGCAACAGCTGCCCGGGACGGGGGCGGGGCCGTCTGCAGCTGCGCTCCCTCACTGGAGGGAAAGTGCCAGCTGGAGCTGACGTCACGAGCAGGCGGGTGAGAGGGCGCAGGCGGAGTGGCCGCGCGCCGGGAAAGAGGGGCGGGGTCGCAGCCCCGCTGCCCAATCCGCGGGCTGGGCACGTGGCAGCCCCAAGGGCCCGGGGAAGGGAGAGGCCGCTAGCGCAGGCTGGGCGGGTGCCCCCGTTGTCGCCATGGCAGTGGGCGTGAGCCCAGTCCCCGCGGCCTGCTGGGGGAAGGGGATAGCGGGTAGCTGTCACAGCCACGGGCCCCGGACCGCGGCACCCACTCCTGCCCCAGCCCCGGAGCTAGGCCCAGGCATCTTCCACCGTCCCCAGCACCCCCAGCCAGCTCCACCACTGCACCACAACTGGGCCCCCACTCGCCAGCTGGGCACGGCCACCACTACTACACCCCGTGTAGCTGCCCCACCTGCTCACTGCTCCGCTCCTGCTCCAGCCCCTTACCTGCTCCCCCCTGCTCCATCTCGGCTTCCTGTTGCCCTGTCCCGCTTGCTTGTCTCTCAAAGGGGGAGGTGGAGGTGGGCGAACCCAGGGTGACCACAGCCAATGCTCCCGGGTTGGCCGGGGGTACGGGAACTGGCATCCATCTCCCGGTGACTATTGAAAGCAATCCAGAGACTGATACAGGGAACCGGTTGAACAGTGCAATTCGTGACGACATTACGTCCTGTAAAAAAACACCTGGAATTGCTTCAGTCAGAGTTGGCAACCCTAGGTTACCAAATTGCCAGTTTCAAAAAAAAAAAAAAAAAAAAAAAGGGGGGGGGGGCAGGGTTAAATATGATTGTGGAAGGAAGTAGCCCCTCGCTTCCAAGCTACAGCCCTCCCACGGCCCCTCACTCCCAACCCGCAGCCCCTTGGCTGCCCCCCTTGGGCAGTCCGCAGTCCTGGCCCTGGCCCTCCAGCCCCCGCCCCCCACAGACTTACCTGCTGGCAGCTGCCAGGGCCACGCACAGACCACTTTATGCCCCTGCCTCCAGTCACCCTCCCCTGCTCCCCCCAGCCCGAAGCAGCTCCTTGCTGGGGCAAGCCAGGAAGTGCCAGGAAAACCTTTGATGCTGAGCGGAGGCAGAGCAAAACCCCCAACAATCGCTGACATTTTAAAAAACTGCCCGGATGGAGATGGGGGCCCAAAGAGGAGGTGTCTGGGAAAACCCAGATGTATGGTAACCCTCGTGAACCTCCACTAGCTGGCTGCGGGAGCAACCGCCCACGCCAACCCTTTATAAGTGATACTAGAGTATGCCGGCGTGAAGAGAGGGTAAAAGGAGAGATTTCAAGGCACAGCCAAGGAAGGGGACAAGGAGAGACGCCTGGAAGGTTGGAGCTGCATGCAGTCTCGCAGCTGGACGAGCAGGTCACCCGCTCTGCCCAGGTCCCATCCCACTTCTCTGGGCTCCATTTTGTTCCAACTGCCTCTCTCCGACTCACTGCTTCTCTTCTGTCCCACCTGGCCAGCTGCTCCAGCTGCCTTGTCCTGCCACCTCCAGTGTCCCACTCCAGTCCCCATGTTCTGTACCCCCCGTCCCTTTCCCGATGGACCCCATCCTACTTTACCAATGAGCGCCGAGCCAACACCCCATTACCCCAGCCACCAGCAAGACCTCACCCTGCAGTCCTCCTGTTCTTTGTGCAGCGTACACCCCATTGATGTACTGCCCGATAGGATTGTAACTTTTGTCCTCCCCAGCAGTAGGAACTGTAGGGCAATGTCAGAAGCCCCCTAAGGGGAAATTGTAACATCTCTTTTTTGTAAGTTCTCAAGAAGAGGCTGAATAATCATCTGTTTCTAGATAGTTTAGGAGTAAAAAAATGCTGCATTTGTGGAAAAGGTTGGATTACATCAGCATTTCTCAACCCATGGGTTGTGACCCTGAAAGGGTCATGAACAAACTTTCTCCTTTAAAGGAGAAACTATTTTTAAAAACTAATTTTCTCTTGCAGGCTGGCAGAGTTCCAGCCTTTAAGGGGCTCCTCCCCCCCACACCCCACACACACAACCTATCCTGCCCCACACACCTGGCAGGGGGGACTGGGGGCAGCTGGTCAGGACTGGCCAATGTTTACAGATGGGTCCTAGTACAAAAAAGGTTGAGAACCGCTGGACTAGATGACTCTTAAGGTCCTTCCAACCCTATGATTCTACTGTTCTGGTCTGTTCAACCCCCAACCCTTGCCCTTGTCCCCTACTTGACCTGCTTGTTGTCCTCACAAATCTGAGCTTAGACTGAGTCCTTTGGAGCAAGAACCAGGTCGCTTTTTGTATAGAAACAAGAACACCTGGGCAGGAATAAGACATGTAAACAGATGTCTGGAAAGGATCACCTGGGATATGGAGTCTAGTCCCCTGCAATCACAGGCAGGGTGGGATTAATGCATGGGCAAACTGGGCACATGCCTAGGGCTGTAAGTGAGGAAGGGGTCCAGTTGTGCTTATTTTACTTATTATAATTATTTAATGAAAAAAGTAATATAAATCTACTGTATTAAGTAGGGGCCCACAAGTTTGTTTGCCTAGGGCCCACTAAAGGGTTAATCTGACCCTGATCCCAGGCAAACATATTATAAATGCCTAGTCCTAAAGGGTTCATACAAATATTAATTCCAGCACCTCCTACACATCATGCCACAAAACAACTCCTAAGGCCTCAGAACTAAGTTGAGATCTTTGTTTTGGGGAGGGGTGTTGGTATTAGTCTCAAAAAAAATTCCTGGAGGAAGGCAGCAGGAAATCCCAGGGTGCCACCAATGAGTTTAACCTCTGTAATGGCAGCAAGTTGATTAGGTAAAATACATTTAAATGGCATGACAGAGGAAGACAAACCCTTGCCAATCTGACCTGTGGAAAACCTTTGCTGCCCCAAAATATGATGTCTGGTTGGACCCCGAGTGTGTGAGCAAGACCTCCAGGATTTCTTAGTCTCAGCAGAAGTGCATCTCAGCCACACTCCTGTCTCTATGGCCAATGGGCCATACTTACTAGGAAGGTAAACCGACAAAGCCAAGCCCCAGAAGCCAAGTAATGCAACCAAGAGGGAAAATAAATAAAGTTTTCCTGGGCCCTGCACAAAATCAGTAGATACCCCAGGGCACAGAAATAAAGCAGTATAATATGGTTCACCAAGTATTATAAATATACTGCTAGATAAATTAGGAGGAGGATAAACAAGGAAGGGTAATCTAATCCAGAAAGGGCTGTAACCACTAACCCTCCAGCCTTCCTCATTTCCACAAACAATTCCCTGCAATCTAAACCACCTTCTCCAAAACATGGCAAAAACACCTCATGAGCCCTAAGGTATTGCAAGCCCACCCCTCCCAAAGCAAAAGTCAGTACACTCCTGGCCCTTAGCATGAGAAAACTACAACCCACCCTAAAACCACTCTCTCAGCCTCTCTCATCAGATCCACACATCAGCAACAGCCAGATCAAGGTACTCTTTGCTAGTCCCTCACATGCAAGCAGCCCACGCTGTAATCCCATCTCCTTTCAACCCTCTAAACCACCTCTGTGAATTCAGAGATCTCTGTGGATTTCCACTGCAGAAGCCCATGACAAAAGTTTACTCATCAAACAGCTTCCCTGCTGCCATTCGTGATAGGGTTAAAATGTAATCCTGTCCCCTGCCAGAGTCTGCATCTGGGTTTTGAGCTCTGGCCTGTGGCTAATCCAAACTATTGTCATGGCCAGCATCTCCCGTTACAAAGATGTGGGCGAGACATGAGCTCAGCAAGGGGAGAGGCCAGTGAACCCAGCATCATGGATGATGAAGTCTATAGCATCACTGCTGGCGGCAGGACAGGCTGGGCCGTTCCACCCACTCCCTGCAGCCTGCACCTTCATAGGCAGCTTTGCTAAGAATTGCATAACAACCGAAAACACCACAAACCAGTTCCTGGCTCTGCTGTGCACTCAGAGGGTGCTGGGCCTACCCTCATTGTTGTGCACCAGTCATTCCCACCCAATTGTTGCTTCAGCCTCTCTCTCCACACCATAATTTTTCATTCTGCCACCGGTTTTCTCTCAGTCACTCTGTCCTGGCCTTTCATAAGCTTCCCCATCCTGTTCCATATTTAATTTCTGATAGTAAGTTTTCTACTCTCTGAAGTTTTGGAATCTTCTCTTTTGGCTGAGGAGGGAAAGACAGAGGTCTGTACAATCATGAAATGGGGGGTGGTAGAAAAGGTAGATGGGGGTTTCCCATTTATTGTCACAATACTAGAAATTATTATGGATCAGGTTTAACATAAACACAAGGGAGTCATTTTCACATGACATATAATTAACTTGTGGAACCCATCACTGCAGGATGTTGTGGAGGCTGATAATTTAACTGGGTTCAGAAGGGCACTGGACAAATTTATGCAGGATTGGTCCATCAGTTGGTATTAAATAGGAGATGCAGGGATGCAACATATGAAGTAGGACCTAGGCCTCTGAATGCTGGACGTCAGAAAGGAACAGGATTGGGAAGAATCCCAAGGAAGAGATCAGTCTGGATAAGCCCTGCTTAAATACTCTTCCCCTTTCCATCCACTCTCTGCCACTGTAAGATACTAGATGCATCTGTGGTCTGAACCAATATGCCATATCTTATGTTCTTTGTCCTGCTGGATTATGGGAGAGGGAGAGGCTTGTGGGTCATTTTTCCTTCTTCTCCAGGCACTTATTTCCCTCTTCTAGGCCTAGGAGAAGAAGCTGAGAACTGGGGCAGGCACCAAAAGGCTGGAAAATGCACCCACTCCTCAACTTGGTGCAGCAGCTG